AATTAAGATGTGCAGCAGCACTCATCGCAAATGGCATCCCGACACGTGCCTAAGCTGACAAACACTGAACTTGGATCCAACACCACGCATAATATTCAGACACCGAAACTACAGCAAAACCTGTACTCTCCCGAACCGTCCATCTATAGACCGTGCCAGGCGAATCAAGTATACATACAAGCAAGTATAGTACAGCATAAGACAGAATATGATTAAAAAACCAGTATGACCTCTCTGGCCAGTGACGCTGCCGCACAAGTGCACGATGCAGCTCCGTATGCCCGGGGCGTTGTCTCGTAGCAATAACTGCCCGCCTTGCCCTGCGCCTACCAGAACATTTTTCTCCGTTGCCCCCCGCATTAGCCCATATAGCCGTCATCAGCCTCCTATCATCATAATCGCAAAAAGACATGTCATCGTCGTAGAGTAGGCGATTCATATTTTGGTTCATTTGCCGGGACAAATGGCCTCATGTCCAAAAAAAAAAATAGAGATTAAAAATTGTAATTGGCCTCGTAGGAAACGGCCTCTTCGGATTCATAATATGTATTAAAAAGAATGCTCGCCACCAATTGGGTGTCGGAGCTTTTTGGCCGTTGACACGTCTGTCAATCAGACATCCCCACGGCATCGCGCGTAGACAGCTTAAGCCTTGCGGGATCGGGCGGTGGCACCGTTGGTCTTGGCACCAGTGGTGGTTCCGTTGGACTTGCCCATGGTGGCAGCCATGTGGACGGGGTCGGGCAGAGGAGCCTGGCTCATGCGGCGAAGGGACTTGCGAGTAGTGGGAGCCTTGCCGTCCTTCTTGTAGGTGGCGAAGTAGAAGGAGATGAAGAGAACCAGGTATGAGCTGAGGATGCCAATACCGGCAAAGGCAGCAAACTCCTCACCGGCACACTTGCCAGCATTGGGCATCCAGTCGAAGTAGGTGGAAGTGAAGTAGGTGTAGGAGGCGAAGTAGACGAAGCCTGTTTGCCCAACGAGTCAGTAAGGAGCCAACAAAGAGGAGCCAACAATGCACATCGTAATATCACTTACCCAGGTCGATGATGAATTGGATGATCTGGAGACGAGTAACCCACTCCTTCCACCAGATTCGGACACCACGTGCGCTCTGGAAGTAGTACCAGTACATGACAACGTGCACAGTCAGGTTGAGGACAATGGGGACCCAGGAGACGGAAGTCAGGCCAATCAGCTGAGTGTAGCAGAGAAGAGCGGTGGCACCGTGGTGGTAGCAGTGGAGGAAGGTCAATGGCTTCTTCTTGAGGAAGAGGAAGACGGTGTCGAGCAGCTCAAGGTACTTGGTGAGGTAGTTGAGCTAATCGTCACATGTTAGCATTTGGCCATACCGCCACGTCGTCACCTGCTGAGAGAATTTACTTACGTAGTAGAGAACGACCATGGGCTGAGTCCAACCACCATCGTGGTCGCAGATGGCGAAGAAGATGCCCTTGCGGACAACAGTGGGCAGGATCTGCTCAATGAAGAGAGCCAAGAGGGCGCCGCTGATGGCGGTCAAGTAGAGGTTGTGGATGAGGAAGAGAGCCTTGAGCTTGAAGGGCTCGCGGTTGCGCATCAACTCTCGACCGCCAAAGATGATGAAGTAGTAGATGACGATGAAGATTGACGTCGACTTGAGCGTAGACATGGGAGTCTCGAAAGGCACAAACTCGAAGTCGTTGGCCGAGAAGCCAGTGACGGCCGTGAAGAGCTTATCAAAGATGGGCCATAGATGGATGCCGAAAGGACGATCGAGCGTCGGGAGCGGTAGCTGCTCGTAAAACGTGGCCATGATGGGCAGAGTTGCACAAGCAAGATCTTGCGCCTTGTTGTAATTCTATAAAGAAGAAAAAGAAGAATAGAAGAAGAAAAAAGAAGACTTGTCTCGAACGGACACGCGACGCGACGGAGCGAAACGAAACCTTGTCCCCGAGAAGAAGCGCCCAAACAGACTGCAATTGCAATCTACAGAGGGATCGAGGCAAAAAAGATTGCACAACGAAGGAGTGACGAGAAGAAAGAGGGGTAGAAGCTTTCCGACTTCCAACTCCGAGAAGAAACAAGAACAACTCTCACGACGGGGGGGGGATGGAGGAGAAGGAAAAGGACGGAGCACGGAGGAGGGCCGAAAGAAATACTTAGCCCAACGTAATCGCAGTCTTACGGCAGAATCTAAAATGTGGCCTCGACACTAGCAGCATGGTTCGTCCCCTTTTTCCAAAGTGGAAATTTGGCTTCTGCAGGCGGTGACGCCAAGTCAACCGCTGCCACATGTGATTGGGCATCGGCGGCAAAGTTTCTCTTCATTCTCGCGGCCACGTGACCTCGGCTCAGGCGAATGCGAGGAGTGGTATTTCGAGGCACAGATCTGGGAATGGATGCTACCTAATTTCGGGGCTGCGCGGACGCCGTGCGGGTGCGAGCAAATGCAATTTGAACATACGAGTACGGAGTAGTAGTAGTTGATCATATTTAATCATATGAGACGAGGCCGATCCCAATGGCAGGGCGGCAGCTGAATAGAGTAGTAGCAGTAAGACCAGCACTGGAACCTTGATGCTCTCGTCAACATCTTCTTCTCTCGCGGCCAACGCATAGGCTTCCTGGGCGTACGCCATCCAAGAAGCCGCCTTGTCATGCCCGCCGAAACCAACAAACTTGAAGAATTACGAAATTGACTAGCACTTTGCAATTGGCTATCATACTGTAGAGTAAACGCAACCCTCCGCAGATTCGCAAGACCGGATACCGATATGCAATCGGAGTGCCAGGATCCCCGACGCCCGGAACCGAGGATCGATTGCATCAATCGCTAAAATCCCTTCCGATCGAACCATCGGTAGACAAGCTGCCACGGCTAGCGCACCCAGCCAAGCCTGTATCAACCAGTATATAATCACAGCATCTTGCATGAACATCAATGATGGTGTTTCAACACGCTGAATGCGTGCATACCATGCATCAAAATGGCATTCCGGCCAGCCGCACCCCATACGGAGGTTCGGTATCAGCAGCTCAAATGCTTCGACAAATAGAAACTGGCCAAATTGAAAGCCTATCGTAACTGAGGCCGTACGCGCTCGCCCCAAAAACACTGTCCCGCACCACGCAAATCTCGCCCGCAGACAGCCCCGCCAAATTTCCAATTCGCACTGTATCCGTTCCCGCTCGGCCGGGTAAATCAGGCAATGCCGTAGCTTAGTCATCCGCCGTCCTCAGGCGATTCTTTGCGTCCAAAACACCTCTTTGCTCAATCTTTAGCACCCGCCCCAAAAGCTCACAACACCAAAACTCAATCCCTCTCAAAAGGTCCTTCTTTTTGCAAGCTTCTCGCCGAGCTTCTCTCCTTCACAAAAACCATGCAGTCCGCCGCCCTCCTCCGCGCCGCCGCCCGCGGCTCCTCCATGGTCCGCGCCGTCGCCGTCCGTCCCGCACCTTTCGCTGTTCGCTCGGCCGTTGCCGCTCGCCCTTTCAGCGTCTCTGCTTCCCGACGAGCCGAGCACGCTGAGGAGACCTTCGAAGAGTTCACTGCCAGGTGAGGCTCTGCTTTTTTTCTTTATGGATGTACGGCAGAGTGGAATTGAAGGGGTGGAATGGGCGCTGTTGGAGGGATATACCAAAAGAGAGGGAGAAAAAAAAATGTCGACAAGCGGACGGCCAAACCGAGAAACTTTTGCGGCTTGTCAAAAAAGAGCGCTGGCGATTCAATCAACGACCTGCCGTGCATGCCATCGCCGACCAGACGTGTTCAATGGCTGACCGCGCTGTGAAAAAATTACAGATTCGAGAAGGAGTTTGATGCTGTGCAGGACGTCTTCGAGCTCCAGGTATGCTCTCTGCGGCTCCCACATATATCGTATGATGTGCTAAGGTCATATTTTAGCGCAACCTCAACAACGCCTTCGCCTACGATCTCGTCCCCTCGCCCTCTGTCGTCGCCGCTGCCCTCAAGGCTGCCCGGAGAGTCAACGACTTTGCTACTGCCGTCCGCATTTTCGAAGGTACGCCAAAATGCTGCTCCTCGTTGTCGTCTTAATTGAGTCATCAACCAAGCTGGGCGTCTGTCTCCACCCCCACGAGAGGCGCCATGGCTATATATCAAACACTGTCAATGCTGCATATTACGTGTTTCTTCAATATCATGCAGCACCCACGCATGACATGCACCATCCCGTCGAGACCAGCATGCTGACGCGCATCCCGATACATAGGCATCAAGGCCAAGGTCGAGAACAAGAACCAGTACCAGCAGTACCTGGACGAGCTGAAGCCTCTGCGAGAGGAGCTGGGTGTCTCACTGAAGGAGGACCTTTACCCCGAGGAGAAATAAGCTCACTGTCCACGAGGAGAAAAAGTCTGTTCCGAGTCTTGTACATGGTATTGTGTTGGGAGGGAAGAGGATAGCGACGGTGCTAGACGGTTGATGGGAAGGGGGCCTCCCAAACCAATGTCTGATAAGTGTGAAGAAGCATATAGTGTATACTGCTCCCTACTGTTGTTGCAACGCCTAGCTGCTTCAACGGAATTTTTTAAAAAAAGAAATTCACAGATTCCCTTGACTGCGTCATATCATCATCACACTATTTAAAAAAAAAAAAAAAATTCACATTTGATATTCCTGACAAACTTCCTCAGTCAAATAGCGTGTGCTATTCCATCTGCATGGACGGTTCCAGTGTGACGATGCCGTGAGCGACCTTCCTTTATGCCTTTTATATAATTATGTATCCATCTTGATTCCTGTAAGGAGACTAATTGCCTCGAGCCAATTCCCTGTTGAAACAAAAAGAAAGAAGGAAAGAAAGATACCGCTCCAAATAAGAAAATAAAAAGAAGAAGAAAAAAACGAATAAAAAAAAGAGAAAGAAAAGGGGGAGGGAACAACACTCCCACTCTCAAACTAAGCATCGAAATACACGACGTGTAAGTAAGACGAGCGTTCGCCCCTACTCGGTCTCGGTGCGAACCCCCCTCTCCCAAAAGTATAAAAGAAGTTCCTATTTCAAATGATTGTATCTGTTTCTTGGCTGCTGCCCGTAGTGCTGCATCCCTTCAGTACCGGGTCCCAGAGCCGGGCTGGCCCCCCTACTACCTGGGCCCCCGTATGCTCGACCGAGCGGGCTCAGCATGCCCATGCGTGGACTCCGTGGTACACTAGACTGTCGGGTCTCTCGCCGGCCGTTCTTGAGCTGTCGAAGCTCTTCATTGGCAAGGTCCAGCTCCCTCTCCCTCTGTTGGATCTGAAGGTTGAGCTCTGCAACCTGTGCAACGAACATGTTTGCGGTATCTCGCTTCTGGATCTCATGGATTTTGACGAAATTTTCGGAAGCCTTCTTGGCAAGTTCCTCGTTTTGGCTTCTTAGCTGGTTGTTTTCTGACTTCAGCCCAGAAGCAGTCGAGGCAGCGTCCTGATACAGATTCCGAATGTAGTCTGCGTCCTTGTGGGCATTCTCCAGCCGCTTCTCGAGAAGAGAAACTTTGGACTGGGTATCGTGTAAGAGCTTCTCGGTTTTTGCCAAGGGTGTATTTTGTGGATCGGAGGCATTTGGGTCTTCTGTCAGCCGAGCCACAGTAGCTTCCAGCTCCATAATGGTTTTCTTTGCTTTTTCAGCTTCCTTCTCCGATTGAGCCACAGCAGACTGCATGGCTTCCTCCATTTTGTGTCTTTCGGCTTCAAACCGAGAACGGTCTTGCAGCGCAGCCCGTTTGGCCTCATACACTCTGTGCGTTGTTCTCTCATACTCCTTGACCCGTTTCTCGAGGCTTGAAATCACTGCTCGATATTCCACGCCGCAATCTGCAGCTTCTAGGTTACGCCTGTACTCGGCAAACTATACAACATTAGCCAGGCACTCACACAAACAACAGTCGTAATGGAAGCGTACCATTTCAGCCATTTTCTGTAATGATGCATGGGAGACATTGATCAATACTTGTGGTCGAGAAGAGTCCCCTATTGCGGTGGTAAATTGAGCCAGCATAGCTCTCACTTCGTCAGATACGGGAGCCTGGCCTGTTCCAATCGCTGCCGTCGCCTCACTTGTAGAAAGCACCCGTGGTCTCTTGGTCTCAAAAACGTCCGATTCGTTCTATGAGCAGATCACATAGTATTAGTAAGTCATATTGACAACGCAGTTTCCACCGCTTTTGAAATTCACTTACATGTTTGCGTTTGCGACCGCTTTCTTGCTCATGATGGGCAAATGCCAGCATCTGTGATCGCGATTGGGAATGGACATACACATCAAGAACGGTATCTGGGACAGGAATCGCTTCCCATAGAAGCGTTTGTTGATCACCTGTGAGGTATTCTATGAATAAGGCGGCAATCTCATGTGGCTCTAGGTAGCCGCGTTCGGGGCTGGCCACCAAATTCCGAGCGCCCACAATTCCTGATACCAGGACACTCTTTCGTTCTATTAGAGTCAAATCGTCTGATATCTGAGGATCAATATGCTCAATTGAATAAGTTGTAACCAGAACCAGAATAAGCTGCTGCCTATTGTTGTCGGCGCTTCTGAGTCCTTGTGCAATGGACGAGTTCCTAAAAGAATGGTCGTATCCAATCACAACATCGAACTCCTGAGCATCGATGTCACCGGTCGGAAGTGCAAGAACCAATTTAGAACTGGATGAATCGGCGGATGAGAGATCCGATTCACCAAGAGCATCGCAACTGAATGGCATCTTCAGAGCTTCTGCTAAATGACAAAGGAGCCGGAGGAGGTCTGGAGAGCGAGCGATTATCAAAATGTTCAAGTGATGCTTTATAATGCCGCTCAAAAGTTCAAAGAGGAAGTTGAACTTGGGATTGGCATCACAGCAATACTTGGCAAGCTCTGCTGGAGGCAGAGTTTCGAGGTCGCTTCCCACCACGTCTTCGGGATAATCGCATACATTCAACAAGATGTTAAATAACTCGTCAATGCGATTGACCAGGAGCGGATCTGGCTCCGAGTAGTGCTCGTCGCTGAAAGACTTGTTAAAGTCCTGGATCGGAGTCTTGAATTCGGTTATAAAGTCGTTGTACCTCTGACGCAAGCTTGCTTGGAAGGGGAGTGTCACAACATGTTCTACCGCTGCTGAAGCGGCGAAAGACACCGATGATTCGGCGGGACTATGTTCGCGCTGAACCTGCTCGGAATGAGCAGTATCCGTTGAATGTTCTTGCATCATAGTTTCACTCGGGCTAACAAAAGGCACCAGAGGGATATCTTTGTATGCTGGCTCCGGTTGTCGACTGATGTCAGCAAGGGAGACTGTAGACTGCTGTGCCGGGATAAACTCTGGGGCAGCCACAGTTGGTGGCTCCAGCTCTGCTCCGACAAAGGCTGGGCCATATATGTCTGCCACTTCTGCGGCAATGGGTTCCTGTGGAGTTGAGATTTGTGGCCCAAGTGTCGAGGTCGTTGTGTCCCTATCATTTCCTGTACTTTCGGTAGCAGCTGCGGCCACCATATTTCCGGCTTGTTCTTTCTCATTGCCGCCAGGCGTTTTAGCGCCGTGAGGCAAATCTGTTGAATGCACAGGTAGCTCAGTGTACGTATTGGGTACGCCTTTCTCTAACGGTGCATGGTGCTCAGCGGGTTCTTCAGCTGAGATCTGGTGGAGTGGTATTTGATGGGACGCTGATTGATGCGACGTAGAATCAGCTTCGCTATTCAACTCGTCCAAGTTAAAGATGTCCGATAGTGCTGCGACAACACCTAGGCTATGCCTCTCCTTGGCCTGCCTCTCCTTGGCCTGCTCTGGAGTCTCGTTTTCCATTTTCTGGCCTTTGTATGAATTGAGTGGGGTTTTTGGTTTCGCTGGAGAGCCTAAGATGTCTCCGGGATGGCCTACGAAGCGTGCCGGGGCTGATTGCTGTGGCAGGAGATTGGCAGCCTCTCGTGGGCGATTTGGGCTAGATTGGGCTAGACTTTCTTGAGACTTGCTTTCCATAAGAGGTTGTTGGGTCGGTGCCTCGAAATCGCGAGGAACTATCTGAGCAGCTTGGGAAGCCCCTGAGTCCGACGCAGATAGAGTGCTCGAGCTGTATGTAGAGGCAATCCCCGCAGCGGGATGAGCAGGTGATTCAAGGATTCGACTAGGTAAAGAACTCTCGGGGATCTCTAATACGGTTGCAAAAAACGGTTGAGTAAAAAACCGGGGGGTTGCGTCTTGTTGTGTATGTATAGATACGGCGGACCCTGATGATGCTAGAGGCTGTCGATCAGGGGAACCGGATGTATTGTGTGATAACGACTCAGACAAAACTGGGCTGCCGGCTCCTGAGACCTCTCTTAACTGATCGGGCTGGCGGGAAGGAATATCTGAACTGACAGTCGCATGTGACTCTTGAATGCGGTCCTCGGATGCCGTATCGGTGGGATTATGATTAGACAGAGAGGAGTCGTGTCGCTCTTTAGTTTCCTTACCAGGTCCCTGTGATATCGGTTTTGAAGGCGCCTCAAAAGAGTCCGGAATGACGTGAGAACTAGATTCTGGTATGATATCTTGAGGCTGGGACTCAATCAATCGGTTGGAGGATGGCGGCAATCCAGCCGGAATTTGCTGCTGGGTCCAAGATCGATCTGTAATCTCTTGCGAATCTGGAACAGTTCCTTGACTGTTTCGCGCAATGGCGACGCGGCTGTCTTCGTTTTCAAGCTCGGCCAGCGACTGCGTAGACTTGCCGCTTGATTGCGACCCGATGACACTCGAGTAATCAGCCGGGTTAAGATTCGAGTTCTTGGGAATCTCTACCACCAGAGACGTAGCTCGCGAACGATATTCTGAGAGATCTACGTCAGGCAGCTCTGGGAGTTCGGAGGGTGTAGATATTGAAGGAGACGACGCGAGAGATGCTGGAGGCTCGTCATATAGAGATCCGCAGGTGTCACTCCTAGGGGCTTTACGGGGCCGAATAGGGGATGAGGTGGAAGATGATGAGATCAATGAGGCTGAGCGTCGCCGCTTCTTGTTGATGCGCCGCTGATGAGCGGGCCGCGGCGGTTGGCTGTTGTCGCTCTCTTGATCTGATGCGGGCTCCGGTTGGGCTTCTGGCTCCTGATGATTTGACTGCTCTGGCTGCTGCCGATCCTGCAGCTGTTGCTCCGGGTCTAGCTCCGGGTCCGGCCCTGGTCCCGGCTCGAACTGGTGTTCAAGCTGCTGTTCAAGCTGCTGTTCAAGCTGATGCTCCTCTCCGCGACGCCGAGCCTTGACCTTTTCCCATTCCACTTTGGCAATACTTGTAACCTCAGAGCTCTGCGGCACATGAACATTAGTAAGAAAGTCCTGCATCTACACAGCGCATGTAAGTGGAGAGCATCGTGTTAGACAAACCCAAGTCGGATCATAAGCTTGCCCGGTGACGGTATTATCGTCCCAGTCAACCAGGTATTCGACGCGACCTTTTACGGTCCTCTCATCAAGAATGCGCCTGATGGTGTACCAGCCTTCGTCTTGGGCGGCGGCGGGCCTTTTGCGAGATTTGGACTTCTTTGATGACAATTTACGTGACCTCGGCATTGGCCTGAATGAGACGGCACAGCGGATAGACGGTGTCTGCCCTTGAAGCCGTAGGGGGGGCGAAACAGCTTCTCGGCACTGAAGCTGCTTCTGTAAGCCGGGCGGCCTGAGCCAAACGTCTGGCGGGCACGGCGCTCGACGCTTGCAAAGGATGTAAGTCGAGCTCACGCAGCAATTGGAGAGGCGAGGCTGAGGTGCGCCAGCGGCCCACCAACGACGATTTGAGAAGGTCGGACAGGGCGATGCGACGGGAGTCTTTTGCAAGGGAGCTGGTTGGCTAATCACGTGGAGGCGCCAACCTCTAAATTCCTGGTAGCGAAGTGCGTTGGCGGGGCGAGGCAAGGCGAAACTGCAGAGGCACACGCTGACAGGGGGACAGTGTGAGACCGCTGAGGCTGGCTGTTGGTGATGCGATGGCGAGGCTGAATCTCGAATTCGTTCGTATCGTATGGAAACGCGACTGAATAAAACGGCACGGATGTAGTGGTAAGGCTTCTGTGGAGGATATGGATATGGACGATAGGTAAATAGCAGAATTAAGATAAAAATCAACAAGTCTTGCAGTAGAGCAGCTGACCCCAGATCGTGTTGGCTGAAGTCAAAGGCCAAAGGGTTAATATGGTGAAGGCTGAAGGATGAATGTTGAAAGGTTAAAGAAGAAAGAATCTCGCTTGGGCCTCAAGACGTCTTTCTTTGCCGTCACCCGGCCCCTCCCTTATGTACTCCATGTAGTGCCAGCACAAACACGTTTTGGGCATCTGATAAGAGAGGGGAATGGGTGCGCACGTCTACATTAGTGCACAGAGCTGGACAAACAAAGGAAATGTCATTTCTTCTTCACTTTTGCTCGGCATGCGCGTCGAATCACTGTGACCATGGATTCACTGGCTAGGTACCTGCTGTGATTCTGATCTGAAAATGAAACAGCTTGGAAGCACTGCATCGTCACGTCTGTCGGTGGCGAAGACAAATGATTGGATATTCGGCAACATCAATGGCTATTGATGCCTGGGAAAGCTGTCAGATGACCTTTGTTCTTACTTTAGAGCAAAGATGGCAGACGAGCGGTCACAAGCGGCTAATTTCGAGCCACGTACTTGGAACAAAGAGATTTGATGCCATGGTTTGACGACGCCTCAGGTCCAATGCCCACCGTATGAGCGTCGTACGGCATAATAGGCATACGTAGTCTTTATAAATAGCATATTCCATGCCTCTGCTATCTCTCAAGATATAGACAAGAAAAGAGAGTTGTTGTTATAAAAACCGAAACAACATGTCCAATAGCAAATACTAACAAATTGCATGGAAATTATATGCAACTCTACACGGCCTGTTGAACCTCCTGCACGGCTCATCATGTGCAAACGGCGTTGCTCACAGAACACAAAAGTCTCCGAGCTTCGATGCCTAGATGCAACGGCCCTGGCCTGAAAATGTAACCAAAACTCTCGATTTGATCAATTAAACAATTTTTTTTTAGTTCGGCAACGAGCTGCGGTGGCGTCTTGGATGCATTTCCGATCAGCTTGGCTGCATAAAAGCTGCACGGCTTGCCGTCTCCGGCTTCTCAACCTGTCGGGCTGCAGATCTGTAGTGCTACCTCAGGTGACTCGCTGGAGCACCTAATGTGCGAAGTACCCCCTAGCCTACAGGTACCTCAGCCCCCGAGTCCCTGTGATTTTAGCAGACCCCAGCCTGCAAACGCGCTAGAAGCACACCTGCATCTCGCAAGCGTCTTCGATCTCGGCCTCACTTTATTCTCACCTCTCACATCAATGCCATCTCGGTTCGTCTGCTTTGCTGCCTAACCGGTCCGTCGCCCATGCAGTCCTTTTCACCTGGATGACATGATTAGAACATCTTGATAGGCTATGACGACGCGTGATACGTGTCGCGTCCGCAGATCTGAACATGGCCTCCAACTTCTCCATACAGCCGATAGGGAGGTTTGTAGGAGCCAGCCAACCTGTCAAGAGACCAAAGGTGAGATGGAAGAAGCTGCGCTTTGCCGAACCGCAACGAAATATACCTATTGGCGGCCGCCGACTAAAGCTTACATAAACCCTCGATTAGGAATTCTCTTGTTTTTCTTTTGATGAGAACCATGAATTTCGCCCTGACGATTCGTCAGTGAAGTATTACTATCCTCCACAACTTGGGGCGGACTTGTCTCTAGGCTTCAACACCTTTGTGAAACACGATGATTCCCAGGATGAGCACCTCGACAGCTTACTAAAAGCCATTGTATTACACGAGAAGGAGACTGGAGTCAAGATAGATGCGAATGTCGTCACATGGAGAGGCATGATGACCAAGGTAAAAACAGACTCCATAAACTCAGCAGTTCATTGCCCTTCATAAGAATAGCAGCAGTTAGGACTAACGACAGAATAGATATTGGCTGCGCCGTTTGAGCAATATGACGGGTAGCAACCCCCTTTCCTCTTCTACCCCGAGACCAATAACCTGACATATGCAGCTTCGAAATGAACGCCACACTATACCAGGTATATCTATTCACCATCTTGCTTGGCCCTGATTCACATCTCTAACCCAATACTTCTCTAGGGAACCATGTAGGTGATGCAAACCATGGCTTAGCAACCGGGCTTCTAACGCCAACAACAGTTTCATCGAAGACAACCACGCACAGAAGATGCTTTCGAGACAGAATGAGGATCGCGGGAAGCCTAGAAGGGGACCCCCTCTTGATGTCATGCAATTTTGGGGTCAATCTCAATGCCATCCTCTATACCAATCTCCTGCTGACCAATACAAGGATACAAGTTTGAGACCTTGTCAACGCTTCCTGCCCCATGGGCAGAGACATCGAGAGACTTTATTGAAAACAGAGAGAAACAAGTTGTCAACAACAAGGAGCAATACTGCTCCGTTGTTCGGACTGGCATTGGTAAGGCTGTTCTCTGTCTAGGAGGAGAAGTCGATGCCAGTAAGTTATTATCATACACCGTTATCATAGCCATCGGCTCTGACTAACCATTAAATGAAATAGTATGGGACAGCAAGCCCCAAGAGAAAGGAAAACCCATCAACTGGGTTGAGCTCAAGACAAGCGCCGAGATCCGCCACGGCGGCGACATTGAAAAGTTCCACCGCAAGCTCATGAAGTACTGGATCCAGTCGTTTCTCCTGGGCGTCCCAAAGATTATCGTTGGCTTCCGCACGCCGGACGGCATCCTCGTCGACATCCAGGAGATTGAGACGCAGCAGATTCCGCAGACGGTAAACGCGCGCCCGAACCCCGCCTGGAACGCAGATATATGCGTGAATTTTGCGGCCGCTTTCCTAGAGTGTATGCCTTTCGCCCCCCCCCCCCCCCTCCCGTCTTACTTGTACTAATGTATAGCTAGGGCTCATGCAAGTCGTCAACGACGAAGGAGTCTGGAGGATATCTCGACGGGCCCATTCGCCCGTTATTGAGGTTTACAAGGCGGAAGAAACAGGACATGGCGATATCCTGACAGACGAGTTTAAAGACTGGAGAATCAAGCTGGCCCTGGGCACAAGTGAATCCTAATTCCTTTTTTGGACGTAATAATGAATCAGGATTGCTCTAAACTGAAGGGAGTACGCCAATCTGTAAAAAGGCACAAATGTATATCACGGCGTTTTTGCAATCGTCAATACCAGTTTTACGGTGATTAGTCCATGAGATATCCTTCCATTATGCCGGGTTACATGCCTACATACATCCATACATACATTCCGAATAGCAAATCAAAATCAGTCATCCTATCAGACGCCTGTTCCCTCGACCCTTGAAAAAACAAATTGGACAAAATTGGAAAAAATTAGGGGGCAAAAAGGTGTGAAAAGGTGAAGAGAAGATAGAAGAAGAATAGAACATAGAAAAGAACAGCACCCATACGTGCTCCAATGCCTCTACCGGCCGCAAATTTCAGGTCAAAATAGGTATTTCAGACGCAGATCCTGAACGCCTCATCCCTCTAATAGTTGCTCCTCATCCGGGGGACGGGACTCGATATGCCAATTCATTATATCGCGCGTGAAATTGTGTCAAACTTTGACAAATTCCCTCCCAAGAGAAGCCCACCATCATCACTTCATCCATTAGACTCGTTTCAAATCGCATTATTCAGGTACATGCAAAAAAATCGGTTTGCAAATCGCAGCTGTTGGATCATATAGCCGGCCAACGGATCCGCAGGCCATCAGCCCACCGGTTGTACAGCACGTCGGACAGCTGCTTGCAGTGCTCCATGCCTGACTGGGTTTCCCGTCCAGGATATTTGTCTTCAATGGCTTGTTTTTCTTGGTCTCTGAGGCTCTCCTTTGATACAGGTGACTCGAGTTGGCGCCGGCGGTGGCTCCTGAAATTTGGGTTTGTGGAGGAGCTCAGCGCCAACTTGGCAGGGCTTGGTGACGGAGTCGAGGTTTTGACAACCACTGTTCCCTGAGGAGTGCCATCATCTGGAACTTTTTGTACAGACTGACGCAGCACTGCTGCATTCAACTTGTTATCCTGGCTCATGGCCGTGATGAGGTTGTTCATAAGATGATATGATCCCTCGGGATCAACCGCGTCCAATGCTGCAAAGGCTTCGGATAGCTTGGCCAGCGCCTCCCGCTTTTGCATGGTAGAGGCCTGCGCATGAAGCTCTGCAAGAGTGGGTTCTACCGCCTTAGAGTATAGCCTTCGTCCCAAGAGAGCTTCCTTGCTATGGGGATCGACCGGCGTAGCCACGGGTGGGGGAACATTCTCGTCGACAAAGACGTCGTCATCCGGGGTTGTAGATCTGACCACGAGCATACCGGCCGATTCCTCCGAAGGAACTCTTCGAAACACACGCATAGTCGATCCCGAATTGCCAAAAGACATGTCGGGCTGAAGAGGTCGTTTAGGAGCAATGATTGAGCCTCGGGGAGAGCCGTTGGCATACGACGCAGGAACTTGCATGATGGAAGGTGTGCGCCGGACTGTTGACTTTCGGATAGTGCTAACAGCCGGCGACGAAGGTGACGAAGAACCCAGAGGGCCTTCATTGATGTCCAGCTTGCGAAACCCTTCCTCGGCAGCTGATAGTACGGATGATGTTTTGCGATGATGCTTGACAGTTGGCCGCTTCGGCGGAACTACCGACTTCACCGTGTCAAATACCCATGCTTCATCGTTGCCACTCTTAGTTGAGATTGTTTGCAAGGTTTCCTGATAGTAAATCGGATGTTTTTGGCGATTTTGATTGGCGTCCCACATCTGCCTCTGCATGATGAGCTCTTGGAGAGCTTCGATTTTACCGGCTGACCGAATAAATCTGTGCCGAAGCAGCTCCTTGGCGCTGGGCCGACGACCGCACTCTTTAGTTAGGCACTGGGCCACGAAATCCCTAAATTCCTTGCTAAAGTGACTTGCCAGTCGTGGCGGTGGGTTTTTGGGGATCTGGAAGAGCACCTTCATCGGGTGGATGTGACAGAGAGGAGGCTCTCCATTGGCCATCTCCATTGCTGTAATGCCCAAAGACCAAATGTCGGCCTTGAAGCTGTAACCATCTTGCTGAATTACCTCAGGAGCCATCCAGAACGGAGTGCCCACAAAGGTGTTGCGTTGAGACTTGATGTTGGTGAGCTGGGCGGCGACACCGAAATCAGCCAGCTTCACCTTGCCAGCATCCGACAGCAAAACGTTTGCCGCCTTGATATCACGATGGATTTTGCCTTCGCTATGCAGATATTGGATTCCATAGAGAAGTTCACGGCAGATGATGGCGATGTGCGCCTCAGTGAAGTTTCCCGGTTTCAACTAGAAATGATGATTGATTAGAAGTGGAATAAAGACGAGAGGACGAGCAGCAGCATCAACTTACCAGATCCAAACAGGATCCGCCACCCAAATATTCCATGATAATCCATAGCTTGTGGCCTCGCAGGAACGAACCCTTGTACTGGGTTACGTAGGGGCTGGCGCAGGTGCTGAGGACAGCAATCTCAGCCTGAATGTCTTGAATATCATCATCGCTGGACTCAAGATCAATCTGCGCAACACGGCCTCGTTAGTTTACTGCCCCTTGTGTGGCTGGAATAAGAGTCACGAATTGGACGGTCCAGGGCAGGTCTCACATGTTTAATGGCCACAGTCTCTCCGGTGATCTTATCGATTCCCTTGTAAACAACTCCAAAACTTCCGCCTAGAAAACCAACGTTAGTCGTGCGAACAAGCAAACCGTCAACAAGATTAGACTCACGGCCTAGCTCCTCCAGCACCTGGTAGTCCGAGGCAAGAGTCTCGTCATCAGCCATCCCGGCGAAGGGTCAAGCGATATTGCCCTTCCCTTTTGTGTTCGTACTCTCCCAGACCGGATGCCGGCGCAATTAAACAAAACAGGGCAGGCAAGGCAATATGCGCAAGGGCCGCGCCGGAGGGAAGTCGAAATTGGCGTCTGTCGGGATAGTGGAAGTGGAACTTGCGGTAGATGTCGAGCCGATGGAAGCCAAGAGCGATCGGATAACAAGGCGTCGTCAGTACCGTAACCGTACAAGTAGGAGCCCTAGTTTAATATACAAACGGCAAATGGCACAGCATTCTAACTGCTTTGCAGTCAAGGTTGAAGAGTGAGCAAATGGACGGTTGTCCGGGGCAGTGGAGCCCAGACGGCTAGGGGGTTTGTTTACAACGGTCCGCTTTGGGATAGCTGTGCTTGGGGAATTTTTAATGGGTTTTAGGCTCTGAGGGCCACTAATTGAAACCTACGGGTGCTAAGTTGGAACCTTGGTAAGTTGAATGGATCACGTCAATGCTATCTATTAGTAGTATCTAGGTATGTATTGATGTTGTTGACAAGTTCAAATTTCGACAATATTATGATGGACGTCTGCATTGCGATAAACAGCACGGTCGTGCATGCACGGCTGAAGAGGCTGAAGGAGGGATCAACAAACATGCAGCTTGTTGCTCACGCCAATGCACGAAAGCAGTGCATTCTGCCAGCTGCTGCTGCACGGCAACCCATAGTGCATATCGGGGTGTGGGCGGGAAAATTGATGGACGTGTGTATAATGCACCTTGACCTCACAGTCAGCCCAGTCCGATGCCTCAGAATTACTAAGTCTGTACCTGTATGGAGTTGACCTCTTTCTTAACCCGTCTGGCGCAGTGGAGGATTGGATGGAGCTGTGCTCAGCTGTACAGGCATTAATGCTGCTCGATGGTTTAGGACGAGTACATTGGCATTAGTGCTTGAGCCGCCGGCCTTGATGTAGCGCTTCAACTGGGCCTAGCGATTGAAATCTCCATTATTGACGTAATTCACCCATCAGCAAATTTTCTTCCGCCCTCGCAGTAGTGCTCGTATGTACTAACCTCCCTGGGCTCGGAGACATAGATGCTCGTAGATTAGTATCTGATCAAATTAAACACCAAAGGGAGAGGCTCTGCTCTACTCTTCTGCAGCTCCCGTCGCCATGGAACCGCGCCTCCAACTCGATCTCCTCCCCCCCCCCAGCCACCCTTGGATGATCAAATCTCCCGTCATCTGGTTCGCCCATTCGCAGGCTCTCTCGTCTCTTCCAGTTGATCACAGGCGTTGTTAGCGCCATCGCACAGCGCATGGCGCTAACACGAGGGGCCGCGCTCCCTTCCGCCAGCCACCTCTAAATCGATCACCACGGCAACGGCCATCTGCCCCTCTGTTGTCCCGGGCCCTGCAAGGCGTCGCCGGCAGCTTTTTCGTCGGCCAGTCCCGTAGCTCGTAGCTCCAGCACGGGGACAACGCTGAGAAGCGGACCTGACCTTGAGAGCTGCGTCCATGCCTTGCTGCAATCTCGCTTGATGCAGCCCAATCCACGACCTGCGGCTGCGAGACCAGACGTCAAATTGCTACGCTGCTGCCATTACTCGCCGACCTCTAGTAGGCACTAGCACAGCAGAGCTCCTTGTCCAACAACCTCATCTCATCTGTACTCGTACTTGACAACATACCGGCCCCTGCACCCAACTCCTGGTACCCGATACCTGCCTGCCTGCGGTTTGCATTGATCCATTGCATTCGATTGCACAAGCTGCTACCTACCTATAGTACTAATCCATCCTTTTGCCTGTGCTGTCCTGTGCTCAGCTTGCATTAGCCCTTGAGCTGCTTGCTGGGTCTCGTCTCTGTGCTTCCAGGGCTGCGAGAGACAAAGAGAATTCCAATCCGCCCCCCGTCTGCCATCAACAAGAAAGAGCCCAGGGTATCATGCTTTTTGCTGCCGCCGTTGGATCGCAGCTCTTGGACATGTGCCATCTCTCAATTCTGGGCCTTTTCTAATCCATCGCCAGCCGCGCCTTTCCGTTGCGCGATTGTCGGGCTGAGATTTCGACGGCCAGCCTGATTTGTTCGGTGAGGCGGCGAGGTGCCGAACGCGTCGATTGATTCCATCAGCTGCACACACCTGTCCGCCCCGATACTTGCTGCCAGACAAGGGATAAACAACAACGGGGATAATTTCTTCTTGTTCCCTTGTTCCCTTTTCTCTCTCTCGCTCTCCTCATCCCCCTTCTCCTTCTTTTCTTCGACCGCTTGC